AGTAAATATGAATTATTTTGCAATAATAATTTTTACAGTTAAAATAAAATATTTTTATTAATGTTATGCACTTTTCCACCTTGGCAAAAAAAAATGATTTTTTTCACTGAAGTGATTGTAGGACCTGAGTCAAGTCACTGATTGAAAAAACCTTCTCAGTCCGGCTTTATATAATGGTTAAAATGATTCATGAAAAGCTTATCATCAAAAAAATTTGTAACTTCATAATTTCAATAATATGATTATTTATAGAAATCTAAAACCACTGTGTAGTTATTAAAATTTTTCTAAGCTGACATAATATTAAAAAAATAATTAGGGGTAGTATTTCACCGATTTATATGACATCATGTATGTGAAAATGTGCAATGACGCAAAAGATATAAATTTAGTATAGCTTATAAACAACAGGAAGTCATGAAATTGAATCCTTAAAAATTAATAAATAATACTAAATTATTATTTTTTCTTTTGAAATCTTAAATTTTATGCTTCGTAAAATACTAAATTAGACTGTTGATGAATTCTTTCTTGTTGATCTCAAACTAACTATTGCTTAAAATAATACTGAAATTCTTTTGAATTTTATACTACGCAAAATAAAAATTGCAAAGATTATTAATAAACTTTTTTCCCAGCAATCTCAAATTTCTTACTGTGTATAAAAACAATTCTGAGAAATGTTGATGAATTTTTTTCTTTTATTGAGAGGGGATCATCCTATAAAGACAGACGATTTGAGCAGAACTGTATAAGTTGAACATTCAGAGTTGTATTGTGTGGTACAAATAATTAAATTAGTACGTATATTATTTTAGTTGAACAAATTTCTCTAGTTGGAAAAATATTGAAAATTTGTTGATTCTAGTACGCTATAGATTACTCAAAAGTCAACGTTGTTGGTCGTTGTGAAGATTTTTTGCCATCCAAGAAATTGAGTGAATTAGAAGTTAACAATATTTACGTAATCAGTGATGTAAAGTCTGTTAAAGCGAAATATGGAAACACTATCATTGTATCAATTGACAATGAGTTCTCTGTATTTTTACCTATCAGAGTTGCAAAAATTTTGCTTGATGATCCAAAACTCCTCGAAGACATGATCAAAAATGCAAAAGAAAATCACCTGGGACTGAACTATCTTGGTGGAAAATATAATCAATTTGAATTTGTGACAATTTAAATAAAATTTCAATGTTTACTTAAATTCTTCAGAGTTTAACCAATGTAAAATTTTTGTTTACTTGTGAAAAAATATAAAAAACAAAAACAATTGTATCTGTATAATCATAACAACAATAAACTTTTTTTCTATGTGAATAAATACG